TAAACTTTTTCACATACAGGGTGTATGCTAACAACATTTTGAGTGTCACCACATATGCATGAGCACCTGCTGGGATTTGTTGCTAGAAATACCTCTCAGCCAGACGCAAGGAGTTTTACAGCACAGCGAACACTTTATGGAGTGGTGTAGCTACCTCACCTTGTAGACTTTCTAGTAGCAATAGATTTTTTTTCTTTGCTTGAGACGCCTATGAGCTTATTTACAGAGTCAATTAACAAAAGATAACCTCCCATTGTGCAATCATCAATAAATCAATGTGTTAATACTATCTTGGAATGTCCTCCACTATTTACTTTCATATTGTTGACTCTCAGCACTTAAGAAAGCCAGAACCTTCAAGTTTCGCTTGATTACAGGCAAATGGATTTTGTAGTAGCCATTAATAAATATAAATTGTTTTGGAAAATATTTAAGTTTGTCGAACTTAACCACTTGCTGGGCATTAATAACTACTCCTTACTGACTATGTTTAACAATTACGACAACAGACTATCCCACATTGTAAGATTATACTACTGCACCTATGTATGTGTTGGCTTGATATTCTTACAGCTCCTTCCAACTGTGAAGTGTGATTATTGACGTAAAAGTTAAAACTTATTTAAGCTATTCACATCAGTAAAGTGCCTTTCTATAATTTGGCAGATCCCTATTCCAAATAGGCTACTTATCCACAACTCAGGGGTTGCTACACTTACTCACAGTGAGTAGCACTTTACTCCAGCTGTCCCACTGGTTTCAGCTCTGTGGACATGTATGATGCCACATCCATTAATGTTCATCAGCACAGAAGGGTCCGTTAGTCACGCTGAATTGTGCCTGTTTCCACAGCATAATGATTTATATCTATGGGAGTGCTCAGCATGAGCAAGGACAGTGGAATGTTTCCCTAAATAGACAATATATAGGCACAGGAATTGGGCAGGGTCATGTTAAGGAAATCCGATGCCCTCATTTCTGCAAGGACCCCCACCAAAAACTTCACAAAGAACATGATGCTTTTGGGACAGAATAAAATTAATGCCAAAGAAGCAGTTTAAATTTTGTGGCAGGTTATTTGCAACCTCAGGCAGACAGCATAATGTGCTTTAGGTAGGTGTGTATTTTAGGTTTTCTTGCACCTTTGATACACAAAGAAAGACATTTTTTTATATGGTCCCAAGAAAGCTTTAAGAACCTCTAATTTTTTGAGGACTAAAATAAAACCAGGAAAGTTTGGGGGTTTGTTTTGTTGTTTTTGTTTTTAAAGGGGGCAACTGAACATAGCTAGTGTAATTCTGATGCCATAGTACCTTTGAGGTAAGAAATCAATTATTTCGCTTATTCTCCTATTGCTTCAGAAGTCAGTTAGCCTTGGCAGTAAATTGAATATTATGCTGCCGCAGACAGCACCTTCCTTGTCAAGCATCTAGCTCCATTCTTCTCTTGATGATGATTGGTGACTTTAAAACTCACATGACTTCTAGATAATAAATGAAAACTGTCATTGTTCTGGGGCTGCTGGGATTCATTTTTTTTTCCTCTTCCCTCTGCTTTGACCTCATTATGATGTATTGTCTACTTCAGGGTGTTTGGAAAAGTAAGGGAAATACTAGGCAAGGACTTTTAAAGAAAAAAACAGACCTCTAATTAGATCTCTGTAACAGACCCTGCAATGACCCTGTTTAGACAGACATTAATGGATGGGCCGAACTCCCATGACTGTAATCCTGTCCTGGTCAAGGCTGTGCCCAGATGGAGGGGTTTTGCTGGTGCCCCGGCTGCTGCCATTCTCATCTGCATCTTCACTGTGGGCTGGATGTCCCTGAAGTCCCTATGGCATCAGTGTCAACAGTGGTGTAAATGTGCAGGGTCAGCTCACTGCACCACCTCAAAACTAACCTTGCTGGGGGAATAAACAAGATAGTAGCTTTTGGTCATGTTAATCTGGCCAGAGAAGTAGTGTAAATGCAAATTAGATGGAAAGAGTATGTGTCTAAGGCCTGAACTGCCTTTTATCAGCAGCCTACAGTTAGATTGACCATACATTGATCATGTAACTGGTATCATAACTATCCAGAGGAAAAAAAGACTCTTTACAACCCAGATTAAACATCTGACATCCATCTATTCCTGTTTCAATCAGGAAAATCCTTTGCCTAAGAACTCTTGCTCAGGAAAAACCTTTGGCTCAGGCCCCACAATAGACAGTCCCTGAACTTCAGGAAATTTCAGTTCTTCTTGCTCTGTAAAACTGTGTTTCACTGAAATCCAAACTGTGTTTCACTGTTCATATGCTTTTTGAGTTGCTCATCTGGGATATAAATCAGAGTAAGCCTTCTGGAAGTAAAATATTTTGTGTTGTTGGAGGCCTGTAGTGGAGCTGGAACTGGACCAGCTGAAGAAGGGGAGAACATGACGGAGGACTGGGAACTTGCTGACAGGGCATTTTCTTTGAAGAAAGGGGCTGTGAAAGAAAGGAGTCACAGACTTGGATGAAACATACAACATAAAAAAAAAAAATCCTACAGTTCAGCCATCCTGCAGCTCAGCCATCATCACATGTAGGCGAAAAATGCAGTCACACCCTGCAACATCTTTGGTTAACCTCTTAAATGAGGGAAACTGTGTATACCAAAATGGTTTTTACCTTTACTTCCATAGCTGAATATTGACATCTGTGAGAACATTCTTGCTAAGAGAGACACAAAGTCTAGAATAATAAGTTAGAGAAGGGAATAAGCTGACAGATCATATCTTTCACCACAAGTTAAAATGGGTTCGATATGTATTGCTCTTAGTTCAATAATGGTTACCTTTGGCTCTCTGTATTAATTTATTTTATATATATGTATAAAATAAATGAAATAAAAAAAAAAAAAAAGCCTATTCCAAAATCAGAGAGTATGACGCCAGATAAAAGGGTTCTTTTAAATCAGACACCCTGAGAAATTAAATTATAAATTAAGCAATATAAAAGGGTGTGCAGAAAGTACATAAATGGCCATCATTTAGCACCAGGGAACCCCAAGGCAATGTCCATTGATGACAATGATAGCTGCTAATCTTCCTCAGTGGGTAAAAGTTCCTCGAGTTTTGAAAATCTAAGATAGCATTGCCCCCACATGAGGAAGCCACTGCAGCAGCAATATCTCCATTGTACCACCAAGAAAAGCTCTTTAGAACATGTTTCCTCTGCTGTGGTCCATATGGCAGCAAGCATTCTGTTAGCTCTCCACAAATAAATAACAAGATAACGCATATCCCTGCGGTATGGATTTATGCTCCTGCCTTTTGCAGTTATACAAAAATAAAGCAGGAATGTAATAATCATAGAAATTATTCTTGTGCTTTCACATATAAATATATATATATATGTGTATATAATGAAATCATGCCCTAACCACTCACCTTGTCAGCATTTAGGCATTTAAAATATCTCCCACCTGCAATGCATACAACACATGGCTGAATAAGCCACTCTCCCACTGAACAAGACAGAGAACTGAAGGATACATTATAAATAAAAACAGTCATGGAAGCCATCAGTTTTTAATCTCTTCCTATTTTATCTAGATCTTTAAACAGTGTTTCAGAAGATGATGGGATGTCTAAGACAACACCTGCCCCTTTTACTCACTCATCCAAGTGATCCCCGTCCACTTGGGGACAAAATAAGTAATGCAAGCAGAATCTGTATTTAAATAATTGTGGCATAATAGAGGGAGTAAAGGCTAAGAAGGAGCTGTTCTGGTCCATTGGGTAAATATTATGATCTTTATAGTGGAAAATAAATGCCCAGCTATCTATGAAACCGATAGAGCTGTTCCAGTCTATCAAATTATAATTTGTGTTTCTAAAAAACAATTTTAAATGGAGTTGCTCTGATCTATAGAGCACATTATATAGCTTGGAAAGACTCTGAATACATATTTATCTGGAAAATTTAAACAGCTCCCTGTAAATAATATGTATCTTGAGGGGAGGGAAAAGCCCTGATTAAATATGTCATTGCTTTGTATATAAAAGTAGATGAACACAAAACAGCACTTCCCAGAGGAATATTGCATTTGAGCCTCGTCCCTTGTCTCACAAGCTAAGATGTGTCAAGCTAGGTCAGTCTTAGACAAGAGACCTCCAAGGAAGACCTAGTTATTGTGAGGAATGGTGCTGATGATTCTGGTCTATGCACCGTCCTTTGAGTCAGTACTGCATTCATTTCCTAGCTTGATGCTAAGGTGTGCTGAGTTGTTGTCTTTCAATGATATCTAAAAGGAAGCCTACCCTCTACAACTGCATCTCATTAAAGTTTCCACGGCATGCTTTGCAAGACTGGGGCGCCAAGCCAGTGTTCTGAAGAAGTTCCAACAGGAATAATTGCATTCTCTCTCAGGTCTCCCCGCAGTTTCAATCGGATGCTGTATGCTTCTTCAGTTTCTATCCTGTTGTGCAGTGTCACTATACACCATTAGACAGCTGTTGTGCTTGAACCTTGGGATAGCTCCATGGCAGTGGTGGGTGACACTAATTCAATAGAACACTTATCCAACTCACGTGGCTTTTGGGGGCTTAATTAAGGTGCTGGTTGAAAGACTCTCGAAAAAAAAAAATGAAAAAAAAATCTTTTTTTTTTCCTTTTAGTTGTTTATTTATTTATTTATTTATTTATTTATCAAATAAACTGTGAGATCAGCTCAGTAAAAAGCAGGAACACAGAATGGATTAATGGCTGCAGCACCACTTGTCCATGTCTCTAGGCTAAGATGGATTTGACCAAGTCCTGTGCCTCTGTCTTTCAAGATAATAATGCACACTCTAAAAAGCATTTTTCTTTTTTTTCCACAGTGCTATAACTTCAGGTCAAAATGTCAGAAGAGCTTGATATTCTTGCCTTTTCTCAGTTTTTGTCATACCGTTATTTAAACATAGGTTTTTGGATTTAATTTGACAATCTTTATGTAGTTGCTGGCATGGTAATTGAGTCTACTTGTCTTTTTCAGGACACCAGAAGATCTAACTAAGTCAGAATGTCTCAGTTACAGTCCAGATTTCTATTTATTACCTACCTCACCGAGAAAGACAAGGTGAGTTATCATTCAGTACAGAAAACCTGAAAGGCATTTATATGCTTGAAGTACTGTATAACCATCCTTTACAGAAGCACAGTGTTTAAGTAGATGTGTTTCAGCCCAGCCAAATCCCTTTGAAAAAATACTACAGAGCCTAAATGGTCTATGCAACCGAGGGTAGGGATCTAGAAAGCTTACCTCCCACCCAGGACCAAAACAAACCCCTTCAGAAATTATTGATACAATGGCTTATGACAGATTGCTCCTCAGCATTACTACTTACATTCTGCATGATAAATTCAACATGAAGTGACAGTCACAGCAAGTGTTCAAGGCTGTAACTAAAAAAAACACCTAATTTTTACTGAAGTTAGAACTCCAATGAACAAGAAAATGTGAATGTATACCCTACATATACATCAAAGCTGCAATCCCTGTAAATGCCATCACCATTACTTATGGTTGGGATGATGCTAATACTTGAAAATATTTCAATAGGAGGCCAATTTCAGACCTGCAAATTGTGATCAAAAAGATAATATTTCAAGGCAGTTCTTACAAAAGGATGTTAGTAGACCAAGGAAGAAGAAAGCTGCCTGTTCCACTTATCTCAGTGGCAGATTGGATGAGGCCACCCTACACATCAATTTGAGTGGGACGAGCCCTCAAATACTTTTTCATCATTGTCTACTGCTTGTCTTTTTAAATTAGGCACATTTAGTGAGCAAATATTAAAAATATGTATAGAGTTTGTGATCATGGGTAAAAATCTGTGTCACCACTTTCAGTGTCACCACTTTCAGCTTTGAATCAGTTGTGTCCCCAGTGTAGCCTTTAGCTATTATTAGGAGAGATCTTATTTGTGTTTGGGTTAATACTGAATATCTGAAGGAAAAATCTTGAAGATTTACTTATGGTAATTCTTTTTTATTATTTCTGTATCATGGAGTTGTATTTTTTCCTGTTGTGGTTCATTTTAAAACAAGACTACAAGTAAAGGATATCATAGAGGTTTTTTCTTTTATTTTAACTGTGCCATTTGGCTGAAATAGCCTTATACGAAACTCTGTGAATTATAAGAGGTATTTAATTTCTGTTTTTCACATTAAAAAAAAGTAGATAATCTTAAGCAATGAAGAGTATTTTTAGGCTATTAAAAAATGTTGACATTTAGTGGCCAAGAGCCTGGCATGTAGTTGCAAAGGTCATCAATGAGTAAACAGACATTAATGGTTAGCTGGATAACTGGTACATAAACAGGTCATATTAATAATTAACACAGAGGAAAACTGGCAGTTTACAGCAGGCTTAGGAAAATAGCTAACAGAAATAACTTTGGAAAGGGCAAGGACCAATATTTAAAAGAATCTAAAAATTAAACCTAGAGGAGCCTAACTTTAAGGCATTAATTTCTCATTCCTTGTTCTCTCTCACAGCTTACAAACAAATTTATTTATTTATTTATTTTTAATTCATGAGCAGTAAAGTTATTAGAATTATGAGAAAAAAAGGAAAAAAAAAAAGAAAAAAAAAGTAATGTACAGATTTTCATTCTGCAATTGATCTTCCGGCTGATGCTGTCTTTCAGATAACTCTGCAGAACATAAAATATTTAAAGAATTGATTTCATCCCCAAATATATCTGGCTTTAAAAAAAATAATAATAATAACTCCTCCCTTTGTTCATTACTGGAAGGATACTAAAATGTATGAATATTTGGATTTAACATTCCATCAACAAACACAAGAGCTGCCTATTGATCCTAAACAAAATAGATTTAAAGTGCCAATGGCAGAAGTTTTACCAACACTTTTTCCTAAAAAGTAAGGTCTCAGCATTTGTGTTCCGCTTCCTAATAAGCAAGATTTTTTTTCTCAATACTCTTTGGCTTTTCATTTCCAAGGCAGCTTTCCTTTTCAGCTCTATCTTCTTTTTTCCAGATTAATACTAAAATTATTAATGGTAGATGTGAAGCTTCAATGGGTAAAGGGTTTTTCCGTGGATACAAATACATGCAGTCAAGTCTCACTCCTATGTCCACAGTTAGTCCTAATGGACTCGACTGTAAATGGGTCCCTGGTCATACAGGCTGGGAAATAAAGGCAGACATATCTGTGATTGTATTTCTCCTAGCTTGTTTTCATACTACCAAATTCAATGGATACCATTCAGCTGGCTTCTTATTTTTAATTATTATTTTAACTAAAAATAGTACAAAACATATAGAACTGCTGATTGGGAGGTAGTAGAATTTACAAACAGTGCAACAATAATCATCACAGTACTCACACGATAGGAAAGTGTAAACAAATATCCCTACAGACAAGTATTACAGTTTTCTAGTATAAAGGAAAAAAATAACAGTGATTTTGAATATTATTTATAATAGTGCTATCCAAACATTGAGTAAAATTGTAATAACATCTAAGATCATCTAGAAGGTGACGTCAGAGAGCAGAGCAATAGGAGAAATGACATATTAGGGAAGCCTATGAAAATTTAGTAAGAGGAATATTTAGAAAGGGTTTCTGATGATGGCCTTGGAGAACCAGGAGTCTTCTGTGGACCTAGATATGTGACCAGTAACAGAAAATTTATGTTATACTGGCAGGAGAGCCTCTCTCCCTAACTTTTACCAAAACATAATTTATTAAAAATTTCTTAACAATACACAGAAGTCATCGTCTTTGTATGCATATGGATTTTGCAAATCCAGAAATACTTATGTATGCATACAGTTAATAAGCAGTCTCAGGTTTACAATGTAATTCAGCCTAATAACTGGATAAAGGAACTGAGAATTAGCAACATTTCTACCATCTCATAAACATGTAACCATTTTATTTTGTGGTCCCTGCTCCCTGTTTGTCAACTAAGACCTACCATTGAAGTGTATGATAGGGAAGCCCAGTTAACGATAGTGAGTTATTAAGTAATATCTTTTCATCCATTGCTCTAAAAATATTTCTTGCTATGATAGAATGAGAGGAGACAAAAGGCAGATACATACATGTCCTTACCAATTTTAAGATGCGGACAACTGTATGCCAAATACACCTCATCTTTTGGCAGCCTGTCTGGTGTCACCTAAGACTTAATCCCACTGACACGCTTCACTCCTGCCCTCTCTTCATCCCATGGCCAGGACTCCACGTCTGCCCAACAGCCAGCACAAGCTGGTACTAAGGGCCTCTGTTTGATCTAGATTTTGAAAATGCATATTCACACAGTGGAAATCTCTGTGAAGGATGAAGAGCTCTCCATTTGGAGTGGGTGTTTGATTTGTTAGCTGCTTGTTTCTGGGGCTCAGAAGATTCATGGTCACAAAGGTCAATAGTTATTGATATCCATTGCAACAAAAGTCTGCTTAATGTTTTTAAAAATAAAGCATCTTCTCTTTGTATAAATTTCTTATTCAATACAGCAATGGTTTCCACAAGACATTTAATGACTACACTTTAATATACAACCTATTCTTATGCTTGGACAGCTGTATTTCTTCACCCTCTTTTTCCTAACACATATCTTTTTCTCATAAATTTACCTTTAAAAAAATCTATCTTTATTTAATTAACTACACTATTCTTTAATCCTTTTAATGCCACTAAAATATATATTGAAGCACTTTACAGTCTAAGTCAAAAGGGCATTTTGGCAAAAGAATATTGCAGCTGTGTTGCCTGAAACATCTTAGAAGGTAGCATCCGCAAGGAGCAGGAGAGCCGGGTAAAATACTGGCAAATGTAAGCAACAGTGTCACATTTTGGGATGAAAAACAGTTAATGCTTGTGCTCATTAAGAGCAATTTTTGTGTCTCTGCAAGGCTCCACAGAAACGGGGAGGTCCACACCCCAGGCCGGGAGGCAGCGGATGCCAAAGCAGCAGAGAAAGGAGACCTGCTCTGCACCGCTAATCCCGTTAATCCCAGTTCTTTCAGGATTTCCTCAGCAGCAAAGCAGAGGGCGAAGTGGCTGGGAGGAAGGGATGAGCCTGAAGCAAGCAGTGGGCAAAGGCAGAGGAAGTGAATCCCCTCTATCCTCCTGGGGAGTTTGGGGGATTGCTGCAGAGCTGGGCCACACGGAGCGACAAATTTCATCTTCTGAAAATTTTACCACTCAGGGGAAATAACTAAATTTAGTGAAAAAGATTTCCCCACTAGGGCCTTGTTTTTAGTCCTTCCTCTGTTAAGGCCACCGAGGAAACCCAAAATAGAGCTCTCTGGAGGGTGACATGGAGGGAGATAGGAGCACGTGCACGGATTTGGCTCCACCACCCAAGCTCCAGCCCAATGACCTTGTCAGCAGGGCAAACTCAGCACGGACTAGAAGTGTCTGGAGAAAAATGTGCTCAGGATTTCAAGGGAGAAAAAATACTAAAATAAAAAATAAAACACCCAAGAAAATAAACCAAGACAGAAAAATGTGAAAGCCATTAAAAAGCGTGGCTTAAACTTAAGAATAAATGCAATGGCATAGTCACATTCTTTAAAAGCTTTGCTCCGCTCAGAATGGCTTTGTTATTAGTGATTCTTAATGCATGAGATAGTGGTTTGGAATAAATCTTTAAGTAATTCAAAACAAGGACTCTTCAGTAAATAGTTGAAATTAAAGGGGGAGTTAGAGTCATCTGGTTTCCATTAGGATGATAAAATAGTTCACTTGAAACCTTTTACAAGATGCTTTGTTACTGGGAGGTGTCTGTGCATCTCACTCCATCACTAGCCATTTGACACAACATAAAAGGCTTCAAAAGCCATGCTAGGCCTCTTAATCAAAAACTAATTGTAATAGATATTGGGGAGTGTTAACACTGTGACCGCTAGGTTGTATCTCCAGTATATAAGCAGGAGTGAACATTAAACACAACCCAGAGTTGATAGGGCTTATCAGAATTTCAGAGTTAAGTGCTAAGTACTGCAGCCCCATATCTGCACGCTGTTGCTTTGTACCACTTTTGGAGTTAATTGCATTGTAGGACTTCATCATTTCAATGAAATTTATAGCAGCCTTAGAGA